ATTTAGTAAATTATCGTATAAATGTAAAAACCTTTGCCAAAATTTTGCTTGCTTTTTGGTATTTATGGACAAACCTAATATAACTTAAGTGCCGTAGCGTAGACTGAAGACCACGTTTTGTTATAGCCAAAGCGCCTTTTAATCGGCTTGCGAACTCAGAGTATAAGAGACACAATGGCGTTAGCAGCAAAAATGATTTAACGGCTATACTGCCAGCGATGGTAATAGTTCCTTTGAAAAGATACCATCTCCTACTCCAGAGAATGATCGACTCGTAGGAGGAGCATGTCGTGGGGAGTTGCGAGTTGAAAACTCGTATCCGACGCCTTTCTGTAAGTGGTCAATCGAAACACTAGGATTTCCTCAACTACTGAATTTTGTGTTTTGGCAGGCGCAGTTCTTAAAACGTAAAAAGTTGGTACATGCACGTTGCATTGTAGTCTTAACTCATTCCTAGGGATAAAACGGGAACATGAAGACGATAGTGTGCTCAAAGACACCCAATATTTATAAATTTTTGAAATCCTTGAACAATATTCCCGTAGACAACGGATCCGGAGTCCATAGAGTTAATGTGTAAGTAGAAAAGTCAGATCACGCAGAACTATCACCGTAATATCTGTGGGGCACAAATCTGCCAGTGGAGACAAGAAAAATGCTAGAAATTATGTTTAAACTCAGTAAAGGCGGGGAGGACATGGCCCTTCCGAAAATACACTGAATCGCAGCGCGAGTCTATTCCGGCTTCTTAGGACAAAATCACCTCTACATACTTGGTGCACACTTATAACACCAATTTCTGAGGCCCGAGGGCCACTTTCGGCTTTTAGAAAGTCAATGTATTTTGTGCGATGTACTTACATGATCAAGGGCAAAATGTCTCTAAGAAGCAAGCAGGCGGCTGCCAACGTATAGGAGAAGAAACACCGGCAGCTACTATTACAACAGAGTGACACGGAGTCAGTTTGCAGGATGACGACGCCCCAAATGTGAGCGACAATCGCAGAAGTTAAAAGAACCTAAACATGGTTGATCACAGCCGACATCTTAAATATACTCAAACTAGTTTTGCAGATCTATGGACAGGCCTCGAGAAAACGTCAGTGTACAAAGCGAAGACAAAAGGGAGGGAAATGAAAACGAACTTTATAATACACACTTTGATTCAATGCTTAAAAATGGATACGACTCCTAAAAGTTGTACGATGCATATTCAGTAACGACCTCCGAAGAAAGTGGACACCTTCCAAAATCCATTTTCAGGCATAAAAATCTGTGTAAAATTCAGATTCGACGACGATGCCACACCCGACAGGGGCAAAAACAACTTAATGTTTCAAATTTGCAAAAATTCCCATTCGATAATTCAGAACAAAACTTTGGCAAGCGTACGCTTTCGGTAACTTCTCATCAGGCCCTACAGTTACAGGGGAGGTTTAAATTTAAAAATCGATAGATTGTCTTTCCTTACACGCGGGAGCCAATCAGAGAGCGGAACGATGCAAGCAATTAGGTAATCGTTGGCAATGCCAAGTTTGGGGCTTGCATGGGGTTCTTTTGTGCACACAAAACCGGCTTCCTCAACCGGATTGCGGTTGCTTCTGCTTTTGCTAGCAGGCGCTGACCCAGGGATTTTGGGTAGTTTGGCGGGACCTTGTAAATCACCTTAAAGGCTTCGTCGGGGTCCACACGATGTCCGGAGTCAGCCATCTGTGCAAGGATAGAACTGTTTATGCTTTTGGTGTCACTTTTGGCTAGCCATGCCGGGAGGTGTTCCCGTATTCTTTCGGATAAGCGCCTACTCGTGCGAACTCTTAAGCAGACGCCTCAACCAAGCCGTAGCACAAATCTTCCCAGCAGCGAAAATTCGG